TGTATTATGTATATGTTTCTTACACATAATCAGAAACAACATACATGATATGCACACATAATTCAAATATATATGTTACGTATCTTCATTTTTTTAATCCCATTTTTTGGCTGGTTTTGCATGCTTGGCAATATTATTATTATTATTATTTAAATTTGTGACACAACTACGAGTGAATAAGATATAGACACTCGAAAGTAAAGGGGAAAAGATCGGTCTGTGCAATGAGAGATTTTTTAGTGTGTCGAGAGCACGGTCAGATACACTAAATGTTATAATACAAGTGGTTAAATATTTCAAAAAAAATTACAACCACATGTGTTATGACATTTGGTGTACTAGACCTGTTTTTTTTTTTTTTTTGACAAATGATAAATTTGTTAAATTAGCCATCGATAAAATTCGAACTAGCACCATCATACAAGGACTCAACCATTTCTATCACTGTGGTAAAGAGCCATTTGCAGTGTACTAGACCGGTTCCCGGCACATTAATTTTTTTTTCACACACGACCTTCTTGATTAGCCGTCATTTAGTGCTTACATTAAATTTCACGCTCTCGTGAACTTTGAGTTCTCTTGTGATCAGCTCCATCTCCATGCGCATACCGTGCCATCGATGATTAGGGTTTCTTTCCGTCTCTTCCATTAATTATTAATTGGAAAAAATGTTTTTTTTTTTTTTTTTTTTGGGTAAACTGGAGATAATGTTTTGCTCACTCACCAACGCATAAAAGATTTTATGCATTAACTGCCACGTGACATCTAATTGACTCACTTTCACCCAAGGATTAATTCAAACCTTTAAAATGTACCAACTCTTTTTAGTAAAATAGCTAAAATGATGAAAATACAAAATTTAGAATAATTTTATGCTTTCATTATATATCGTCAATTACTTGATCAGTTGTATTTTAAATATTTGATCAATATAGCTTTGTTATTTAACTTTTATCATTTTAACATTAGAATTTGTAAAAACTTCATTTCAACTGCTTTTTCTATTTTTTCTGCCTTCGTGACTTAAAAGACAAATAATTATGAGAGAAAAAAGCACTTTGGCATCACCTAAATTATGTTATGCTGGCCACTGAAACTCGGAAGCTTCATGTTTGATTCCATATTTTGGAGCTGGTGGGTTTAGGAGGGTAATGGTACTAATGCACAATTTACAAGCACTAATCAGTGTGTTAATACAGATAATCATGATATAAAAGATAGATTATATGATTGTTAAAAGAGGGGCAAAAATCCATATGACTCTCTGTCTCCGTACAAACTTCAACATCAGTACATCACCATCGAAACTACATGCTAGTTGCACAATGTGAAACAGTAATCGAATAGGTCCAACAAATAGCAATCACCGGATTGAAATTAACCTTTAAGCAAAGGGTCACGGATCTTTCTAATTTTTGGAGCTAGCCAGCCAGCTCTACCTGTATATATATTATATGAAATTAAGATAATATTAATTAATTAGATCCTTGCATTAGATCTAAATTAACTTCCCCCATTGGGGTTTTCAGTTTTCTCGTTGTTGACATGTCGCTGCTAGGTCGGTAGGCCCTGCCGAATGCTGATGATGTTATGGTTATGGATGGTGGGCATTGTTAAGCATGTGAATTATATTTCCAGTTTGGAAAAGCTCTTTTAATTGATATGTTATGTTGAGAATAAATCTCACATCGAGAAAAATGAAAAACATTGTATGTGATTATAAGTAGTTGGGCTACTTTACATATTGTCAATTGATTTTATGGTTTTACCTCAACTTTCTTCGTGATATCAGAATAAGTTGTCCTATCTATGTGTGTAGCTCAACGGTCACATGTGATTCACGTCACCCAATTTGTTTGTCCACATGTTAGGCTTAAAAATTTGTCACACGTGAGGGGACGCGTTGAGAGTGAATCTCACATCGGAGAAATGATAAACCTAGCATATGTTTATAAGTAGTTTGACTACTTTCCATATTATCAATTGGTTTCATGGTAGAATCTCAACTGTCTTCGTGTCTATAATCTAAATAGATCCTTAAAATATTTACAAAAGACAAAAGTGCTTTGTATACATTTGACAACCTTTGTGTAATTACGATGGCCTACAGAAAAGAAAAAAATAAGCCTTATTCCAGCCACAATCACGGATGGATTTGGAGAGCCCCTGATGAAGTTCACCCCAATTGCCATTGTTTCTTTGGGCACCAGGGACTTTTCTCTGTTGCTTTTTCTCCCTCTCTGACTTAGCATCTAATGCATGTATACCAAGCCACATTACACTTGATCAAGGGCACGATTTATTGTACTCATGTAATCGTAAATACATAATATGCATTTATATGTCTATATATTTCCTTGTTAAACTTAGACTATATGGATTTAAACCACTTAAACGTTCGAATAAGAATTAATAAGATAATATTGTAAGGAAATACATTTCACGCACGATCTTATTTCTCATTTTTTGCATGCTTATTTATTTGTGTTCATTAATTCTCTATGATGATATAATTCAAAAATCATAAATAAACATGTGAAAAAATGGGTGTTCAAGGGTTATGATAATTATAGTGAACAGTGGACTACTGTGTATGCACATGTGCATTCCTGTTGTGTAATCTGGAAATGCATCAGAATTCAGGCATGTCGCAAGTGTACCATCAGTACGTCCGATCTAAAGAACGTGCATGGCTGTTAAATAATGAAAGCTGCAATAAAACCGATCGATGTCGAAGCAAAAAAAAACTACACAATAATTATAAAAAGGAAAATATTTAGCTGATGGTAAAATCTAAACAATTTAACAATTGCTTCCTTCTTAAACCAAGTTTCTCGACTCTTCTGTTTCGTTGCTTGATAAAGATGCATGGGCAGACAAAACGTGATCACAGTTGACTTTACTGCGGAGGTCAATGCGCATGCATAGTATAGTTTTGCTGCTTTCAGCAATTCCAGTATCTCATTATTGCATTCATAAATGGCAACAATGCGAGTAGAAATTATAAAAATTAAAAAAAAATTTCGTGCGTCTATTGTTTCTTGATCCATCTTGCAAATTCCAGTGGTGCAGGTCAATGGATATGAAAACTGTGAACCAAATAAATATAGGAGGAGCCTTTTTTTAGTAAAGATTTCGGTATATTGCAGCAAAATTGAAACGATAAAATTTCGCAATAATTTGAATAAACTTTACAGGCTCAGCGTGGTTCATCACCAGGATCCTATCATTCAACGGAATCATGTACCTACCATATAGAATTCTCATATTCAAAAATAGAAAAAATGGGAACATAAGATGTTTTATACCGTGAAATATTCTCTATGATCGATTATCCTATACTTCATATATAGTTCTATACATAAAATATATGCACATCCATATTTGTTGTTTTGTACTAGGTGGCCATTTCTCGTGACTACTAAAATTGCAGAGTTGTCTGTGTTTTAATCGAGTATTACATTTTTCAAAACCCCAACCCTGAGCTATAGATACAGCCTATATATACTTATAAATTTTATTGCAACCCTAGCTAGTGTGATATGCCCTAACATTATTAGATGGACCCAACTCTCCCTAGTGAGGAGGACCAACCAAACGAATATATATGAAATCAAAACAATTGATCCGATTTATCACAGATATAGACACAACAACACACCCACTGGCTACTAGATAGTAGTAGATATTACAAATTAGTCATGCATCTTCTTCTTGGTGGCCCCATTTTCATCCACATTTGGAATTTTGGGTTGGAAAGGGATCCGGAGAGGATCCCTTCCTCCTAATCCACCAAATCAATGGATATGTGCTATTGAAATTTGATCAAATGACTAAAGTTATTATAACTTTTAAGTGGGCTCCTGTTTGTAACCGTTGGATCAAATTTCAATGGCATAGATCCACAACGGATTAGGAGGAAAGGATCCGGATAAGATCCCTTTCTCCTTTTGTCTCTCTCATCATCCTGCATAATTTAGGTCCAATCTCATCCAACCACAAGATGCAGAAAAAAATTCATGGGCCATTGCCTTTTTCTTTTAGTTTGACTCACGTTCTGTTTAACGCGCGTGTGAATAGATTCTTTTTTACGGTGTATAGTTCGACTTTGGTGAATGAAATTCAATTTAGATGCTCACACTTGTCGTTGTGTGAGAGTGCAGGACGTGAAAAAAAGAAGTAGGTGTGGATTACGAAAAACAAAAATACAACAACAATCAAACTTTATCTCACTAAAGTCGGGTATATGAAATCCTAGAAACTATTGCGCAAGGTTTTGCGTCAAGTATTTCATTAGTTCCAAGTACTTCATATCTTTTGTTATAGTCTCTTTTAAAGTCTTCCCAGGTATTCCTCTATCCCTTTTACCCTGATCTCCGTCTCTTAGTCACAAAAGATGAAAAAGAGAAAAAGAAAAGAACACAGTTTAGAATTGCTTGCTTTTCTTCAATCAATCACCATAAGACACCTAGTTTTATAAAATTTCGTCAAATCTGTCGGCTGATTAACAAAATACAGGCATCTGTCAGTTAGCAAGCAGAATAATCCCAAAACTTTCATCGACCAGTCAGTGATTCTTTACCGTACACAGCTTCTATTTTTCATGTTGTTCCATTGCTGCAGAAAAGCTTTTGGTTGTAGTTGTTGGGTTCTGAATGTCATCTTGCCAAATAACAAATCAGAATTTTTGTTGGACCGGGTTCGAATATCCCAGTGGTCCTCAATCGTCCTTGTCTGCAAATTAATTTTCTAGTTGTCCCTATTCCAAAAACGAAACGCATTTCATAGTCAGATCATTTCTGAATATAGTGATAATAATGGGCAAGGCTCTCGGTTTGGTTAATCCTTAATCGCTTAGATTTAAGTATTTACTATCAATAAATAAGATCAAAGTTGAAAAAATGAAGAGTGGAAGTGCGGTTTTTTCAATGCGTCAATGTCTTAGAAAAAGCGACAACGCATTCTGCATAGAGAATTTCTGGTTCAAAAACTTTGACGGGTGTAGTTGGAAATCATTCTTTATAATAATCATCTGCAGTGATCAGTTTTATAACTATAATTCGTCTACATAGTAATAGTCTCCGCAACTGCCCCTTAAACCTCCCTCCAAGATTCCTTTACATTGCTAGAGAGCACTCTACAAGCTCATTAACCCTGTTCTGTATGCTGTCAAACAGTTATTTAGTTATGTGCATATAGGGAGCCAAATCAGAGCTCCGTGTGCACAATATCCGCCCTAGTGAGATCTGCGAGCTCAGCTTCAGCGGTCTGATCGGTGATTGTAGAGTCTTTGTCATGGGAATTCAGACAATCTGCTGAGGGATGCACAATGCCATACCCGAAGCCTTGCGCAGAGTTGCAGTATGTTTCCACTTGGCCGTCCTCCCTCTCCAAGTTGACGTCAGTCAGGACTATGTTGCTGCATGGAACTGTGTCACTGCAGGCAAATTTCATGGCCTTCGCACTCGTTGTGGTTCCAGAAATGTTCATGTACATGACTTGGGTTATTTCCACCGCTGATGTCTGAAATGTAAGGACAAAGAAAAGCAACACAATCACAATTAACAGAAATTTGACGGGGTATTGGTTATGATTGATTTAAGTGAAGAGTTCGGGAGTTTATATATGATCAGAGTCAAATGGCTGAGAATTCAGAGGTGAAGGAAAGAAGAAATTTAGAGCATTACCAGATTTTGACAAGGTTTGGGGGAATCGCAGTAAAACTGATCTATGATTATCGGGTTTGATACATTTTCCATCCTTACATTCTGAAAACGGACACCACGTACATAACCAGAACCACCCTATATACCCAAATGCAAAAAAGCGAATGTTACCATAGGGGATCCATCGACAACCCGAAAAATAAAATAAAGAAATCCAATTAATAGATTAAAAACCTGCCAAGTCTTAATCCTGAGGCCATTGGTCGTCTCCCTGAGGTATGCCGTATCCAAGACCACTTTTGTGACCATGTCAGTGGAGTTGCCCTTCCCAAGACTTCCGATGCTAAGTAACAGAATTTCGTGCCAATAAAGGTAATGAGAATAACAATTTTCATTTCATTTACTTATATTTTAAACGATGAAAGACTAATTTGAGCCTGCTTTGTATCTCTTTTGGGAGGACATGACTACATGAGACACAAACTGTAGCATTAGTCTGCAACAAAAGTAGATGATACCTGATTCCATGTCCTGGTCCGCAAAAGATTCTCTTCATCTTAATTCCGGAGGTACCACTGACAATTGAGACGCAATCATCCCCTTAATCAACAGGAAATACAATGTGTCATGTGATTGAGCGCCTTTCAAGTGTAAACTATTGTTTCTTTCGTACCCAATCAAATATTATTTTATGATATTCTTTCTTCTCTTCATATAACCAATTTGATCTCGTTACCATTCCAGTTCCTGCTTTTGAGTTATGAAAAGTGATATGAGAAATGATATTGAAGAAAGTTTGAGAACCTGTTCCAATTTTGCAGTCTTGGAGAACCACATTAGTAGATGCTGTGATATGGATTCCATCAGTGTTGGGACTGTCTCCTGGAGCCGAGACTAATACTGCATCAACTCGCACCCCGTCACAATGAGAGATGACAAAATTCATCTGTTGGGCGTTCTTGATGGTGATGCCTTTTACCTTTATAGCTGAGCTTTTATCAATAGTAAATGCCTGCAAATAAAAACCCAACTTAAATTCTATCCAGCGATCATCCTGATCCATGTCATTTAAATAAATTCATTTTTGCATCGGAAGGAAAAGTACATACTGTTGGTGCCCCTCTGCAAGGCTGTAGAAAAAAAAGGAAACAGAGATAAATCAATATGAAATTGTAAATGGTCTGGATTTAAGTATTTGGATACAGTAGAAATGATAATATGCGAAGATTTACATTTGTCTTGTTCTTTTTGCAGGATGCGGCCCACCATTTACTGCCTGAGCCGTCAATAACGCCATCCCCTTGGAAAAGGACTCCGGTCAATTTAGTGAAATCAAGCCATGTTCGTGGAAATCTCGGATCCCAGTTATTAGGCTCATCCGGAGCTACTATAGTTCCTTCAATCTGTGCATCAGTCGTACCATTTACAAACATGAACATTTCATATTTTCATACCATTGCAAAGAGGTATAAAGAGATGGAATATAAATAGTTATCATTGATGATTAGAACGAAGATGGATTACAAGGATCTAACTTTACTAAAATCAAGAAAGGTTTTACCTGGATGATTAGGTTATCCTCGCATGGCCCTTGAAATTTTGTAGCATTCACTAGATACTGGTGCCCTTGGGGTACCAAGAAAACTGCATTTGTTGTATTGCAAGCGATACCCCAGGCTTTCTGGAAAGCCTAAGAATAATGGCATTGTAAAAGGATTAAATGTCAACAATTATGGCAAACAGTTCGGGTAAATGATTTTTCGTGGTTAAAATTGGCAAAGTTCAGACATGCTAGAGCTGTGAAGCGTCATGTCCTTTTTCCAATAAATTAACTGCTGATCACGATATGTTGTATAATATTCATTCAGTTTATTGGTCTCAAAAGTTGAGTATCAATATTTTGGCAAAACTAGTATTTAAAAGTGGTTCTAATTGTTCAAGAAATGAGGCGCATTTGAATGACAAAAAAAAGTGACCAACTATACAGCTGTGTATGCTCACCTGAGTATCATCAGAAACTCCATCTCCAACTGCAGCAAAGCTATCCACGTTAACAAGAATCTTGCAACCTCGTTCACTTTTCCATGTCGGAATGTCGAAAACATCCAGCTCGCTGTCTTCTTCTATGTGAAAACTTTCAAGCTCATGAAGCATGCAACTGTTGTCAGACACCACGTTTCCTGCAACTCCAAACACTGCTATCAGCATACCAAAACCGAAAACCGCAGAGAATTTATCCATGCTTGTCTTTTTTTCTTTTTTTTTTGCAAGATCGATCGATTCATATAACTTCAATGAACAATGGGTTACCATTTATACGTACAGATTAGTTTAAGAATTGCAAAGGGTTTTCTGGGATAAAATGGCTTGGCTTGGAAGTAGATGAAGATGTTACATTTTCTACAAGCCCACACTTAAAGCAAGGGAAAATCTTTGTTGCTTGCTTTACTCTAAAATTAGTGAACAAAAATGCACCAGTAATAGGGGTTTCAGTGTGAGGAATCTGTTTCAGGATAAAGGGAAAGTAAAGATATATCAGCAGAGTGCAATACTTTCTGGAAAAATCGATTTTTAAGGATTTTTAAGGACAATTTGAATATTTAAAAATTGAAATAAAATGATTGGATGTACAGTGGCAGTGCCGTACAACAAAATCTAAAATGTTTTTCTTGTAAGATAAGCAGAAGAAAAGGTCAACGAGTTAGTTAGACGAAAAATAGAAAAACATAATAGTAACAGACTAACAGTAACTCTATTGAGAAGATGTAAACCTCGTAAGCAGGGGCCAGCTAGGTGAAAATTTAGCTGAAAGCATCATGCGGTGGAGAGAATTCCGGTGAGACTGCTTGATTAGGACAACTCTCATACAAAGTAGGATCGCGTGGGACCGAGTGGAGTCAAGTGGGATTAAAATACAAGGGATCCCGTGTTTCTGTGAGAGGTGGTTAACGGAACCCCTACCTAAGATTTTCTCCATACAGTGTAACAGTGGGGTCAAAGAAGAATCCGATCAGGTGGTTTCATCATTTCAAAATGTTAGCAGTGATGGTGACTGTTTACCTCGAACCAAACTGTGACCCATCTCCCATTTCACTTTTCTTGCAATTGCAATTTCCCTGATTTGCATTGCAGTGTCACACTCTCCAATTTCAGAATAAAATTTTGAAGCTTGCATTCAAAACTCTGGATCTTCGACATCAAACTCCAATAATAAAGTTTTTACAGTTCGTCCTCCGACTGTTTCGTTATTGTGTACCTTACAACTTAGCAATAACGAGCTCCACATCACAGTCCCCATTAACCGGTGCCTGCTGCAGCAACTCTTCAGCTTCCTCTAGCAAACCCGCCCGGCCTAAGAGATCAACCATACACGAAAAATGCTTTCTGTCCGGAGAAATATCATATAGTTTTTTCATTGAATCAAACACAAATCTTGCTTCTTTGACCAGTCCTGAATGGTCGCACCCACTTAACACACCTAAGATTGTCCCTTTATCAGGTGTGAGACCCCTTGTGATCATTTCTTGAAGCAAATCAAGACCTTCGCTTCCCCTTCCATTCCGGGCATATCCATGGATTTTCAATGTAAAACAAATGATATTTGGTAAAGGAAGTTGTTCGAAAACTTTCCGAGAAAGCTTGACATGGCCACATCTTGCATATGCATCGATTAGTGAACACAAAACCGCAATATCAGATTCAAAACTTGATTTTATTGCACAACAGTGTTACCAATTTGCAGCTTCCCAAACTTGCCAAATCAGAAATAGATAAGGTTTTCAGGGTCGTGGATAGAGTAACTTCATCAAGGCCAATTCCCTCATCAACCATCAAAACAAACATTTCCACCACGTCCACAATAACACCACAATGCAACAAAGAGGTCATCAAAGAATTACAACACTCCAGCGTTTGCTCATGAACAATTTCATAAATAGACACTGAACTTTCAATGTCACCGCATTTCCCGTACATGTCTATTAGAGCAGACTGAACATAAACATTCCCACCGTGACCAAAACCCAACTTCACAACATAAGAGTGCATCTGCCTTCCAAGTTCAAAATTCTCAGTCCTACTAGCTAAATTCAAAAACCATACAAACAAAGTTACGATCGATGGCCTCTTCTCCCAAAACTGCATCTCAGCAAATAACTCGAGCGCATCAAGTGGTAAACCATTTTTGGTGTAGACCTTCTTCGGAATAGCTTCAAATGCTTCTGTTGCATCAATCAAGCTCCCACAAGCAGAGTATAAATCCACCAGAGCATTGGCAACGAATGTATTCGATTCCACCCATCCGTCCTTAACAATGCAGCAATGTAGATGCTTTCCTGCTTCCAAAAGCCTCCCACTACAACGTCCGCAGATCAAATAACAAAAAGTAAGCACATTTGGATCCACACCATCCAATTCCATCCTGGAAAACACACCACATAACTCATCCACCCGACACAACACACAAAACCCACGTAACAACACATTCCAAACAGCTAAGTTTCAGTCCAGCAACTCATCAAACAGCTTCAAAGCTGCATTGTCTAGTCCCATATGGAAATAAAGATCAACAAGTGAACTCCCTACATACAAATTCAAGCCGAACCCAAGTGAGACAACCCTGCAATGAACTTGCATTCCTTCTCTACAAAACCCTGCGTCATTATAAACACCCAAAACCGACGAGAACGTCGACGCACTTTCTCTAACTCCTTGTGAAACCATTTCAGCGTACAAGTGAAAAGCCTGTTCCGGAAACCCAAGTCGCCCGTGCCCAGAATAAGCATGTTATAGGTAACAACATCGTATACAGGCATTTCATCGAACAGTTTGACAGCATTGTTCAAGTCCCCGGATTTTATCAAGCCGTCGATTTTCTGGTTGTTGGATTAAACTAGGTCGCGAACACTGGGTTCAAAGTACGAGTCTGAACGCAGTTATGACGACGCTGACGAAGCTGTGGATACGTTAACGTTTGGCGCAAACGTTGTTTTGAAACGTACGGAAGACAGTGACCTAGTAATCCGCATTGGGCATCCGGCTCTCGGAAGTGAAATTGACAACATTCGAATGTATTAATCTCGGGTTCGGATTAATTATTGACCGATTGGCTTTTTAAATAAAATAATTCATGGGATTTGCACAATTCTCATTTTAGTCTATGATATTTAAAATCAATAAAAGTGTTCATGAGATTTCATCATTAATCATTTTAGTAATTCTATGAAAAATCTTCATTAAATAAGAGTAAATGACAAAAATACCGTCATTTTTTTTTTCAAATCATTTTGGTCTATTATTTGTTAAATTGAGAGTATTTTTATCATTTTAATCCTTATTTAAGATAATTTTTTGCAGAAAGACCAAAATGATTGATGGTGGGGAATCTTAATGATCACTTCTATTGATTTTAAATCTCAGGAACCAAAATGAAGAGTTATGCAAATCTCAGAAAGACCAATTTCATTACCCTCCTTGTCGTTCTGGTGTCATTTTTTATGTGATGTTCTAAACAAATACAATGCTAAGTGAATTGACGATATTTTAAATTACTCTTAATCAATATCTTAAATTGTTATAACTAAAAGTGAAATTGACAATATTCTAAACTACTCTTCGTTAGTATTCTAAATTGTTATAACGAAAAGTGTAATTGACGATATTCTAAAATACCATGACAAAGAGGCAAAATTTAAAAATTGAATATAAAAAAGAACATAGTTCAAACCGACTACCTCACATCTGCAAAAAATACATTGACCTAACAAACTTGATAACAAGCTCGAAGAACACATTTTGAATACATTTTTTTTAAAATTTTTTTTACTAATATTAAGAGGAGGAAGGATTAAAACTATACATAATTTGGAAAAATGGAGAGTTTTCAACCGAGACATATCAGTATAAACTCAATATCATATCCACTAGAATATTAGATCTCGTGAATACCTTTGCTTTGCTTGCAAATTGTGCTTTATTTATTTGATTCCTACAAGACAAACTTTGCTTGCAATATGCAAATGAACAGCCATGAAACATTCAGAAAAAAAGAGTACGTAGAAAAAAAGTGAGCAAATCTTCGAACCGTCACAAGACATGGACGACGAACATTATTTTACATCGACGACGACACCTCCCGGACAATAGGAAACCCATTTTCCTCACCATAAGCAAACAGCAATCAAGTTCATACAAGTATTACACAATTATAATGATATTGACACCATTGATTTACATTTAGCAGCAAAAGGCCAAAAACACAACAAGCTTTCAGATCAATAACATTAACATGTAGCTGCAATCGCCTCCAAAAGGGAGGCCACAAAGCGCATCTGAGTTTCTTCATTGATTCTGGAAAAGAGAGGAACGTGGACGAATAAAGATTTGTGGCCCTTTTCTTCTGCAAAACGGAGGGAATGATAGTAGACATAATTGCACACAAAGCGCCCGGCATCATCTGATGTTGCCACATCATATCCCTTCTTCTTCAATATCTTAAGGATTGCCTCGGTCGAGCAACATGTCTTCAAGAACCAAATGGTGGAAAAGTTAGCACACATGGACACGTGAGACAGAAGGGGGACGAGATGACTACATGAGCATGATAAATAGTTTCTTGGATGACGACACATTATGCCAAGTCCAGTATTAGTGATTCACTCAAAACCTAAAAGAAGATGGACAATTAATTTGTTTATATACAGCAAAACTTCCTATGCAGCAGTTCCCCTTTCAGTTTCAATTAGAATTAGTAGAATCAGTCACGAGGGTTCATCCACAAGTCATCTACCAATTTATTGATTGGGAAACTAAGCACACCAATACGTGACAATATCATTACATTCCACGTAAATCAATGTCAAACCCTGCAACATCGAAGGCTTGAAGCCTTTGCCTCGGTTGCTTATATAAGAAAACGCAAAAATTCTGCAAAATGTTAATTCAGCACAAAGTGAAACTACACATTGAACTCTGACCCTAAGTATTTGATGCCCGACTCTGACAGCATATCGAAATTCGACAAAAGATAAATTGTGTTTTATGAATAATAAATATAGTATTGCAAATAGATTGTACAAATACCTCTCTCACTCGAGAAGTTCCTCCATCCTCAGGGACTATTGGTAGTTGCTGGAAGAAGAGCAATAAAAGAAAACTAAGTTCAACAAATTCAAGATAATAGGAACCCTGGTAAAGTAAAATACGGAAACACCGCTAAAATAGGAAGAATCAGACTCACCTGAGGTTGCCATCCTAACTCATCTGGACAGCGGAAAGTGGCTTCATTTACTGCTTGCTGCTCAATAGCAAATTTTACAGCCCCACTATTTACCCCCAAGTGAAGCTGAAGAAGCAACGAAATTAAAATGATAATAACAACATACAGAGGACTGCTGTTAAATTAAGTTTCTGCATAAAAATGTGTATTGGAATCTGTTCACACAAATTCATGAAAACATTTATCTGCAAAGCAACAAAACCTGACAAGAAGCCTCCAGTGAGGCACAAAAAGTTTATGGCAAGTTAGGAATCAAGATATCAATGTTAGCCTTAATCTTGGGCTAACAAAATGTAATTCACGGCAGCTGAATGGGGTTAGACCATGATAGTGTAACGATGAACTGAAGCAAAAGTGTGCATTGTGTGTTTAACAAAAGCAACTAAACAATCAGAGATCAAAATGTCTTGTCAGTCCTCTCCTCACAGTAATAAACAAGGGTAGCAAGATGAACTCATGAAGCACAAGGGGACCATCTAAGTCAATAGATGCATAAATTTTATACTGCAAGTTAATTCCTCAAATGCCAAAAAGGAAACCAATGCGGTGACAGAGTCCAAACATTCCCAAAGAAAATAACTTTTCCAGATTTAGAACAATACTATCTAACAACCCAAAACAATGTGGATGCTTTTTTCATTTCTAGCAATTCAAACCCCGAAAACGAAACTAAATTTTGCAATCCTAAAGGAGACACTCACCCATACGACTTGTTCATTGCTCTTAGAATCGGTTGCCGAAATCCCCGATTCCATGGCCTTGTAAAGAGCAGCGCGCGCACCGTCTCCTGCTGTTTCAAGAACATCACAGCTGCCAAGTTTAAGACCAGCAGGCAACCCTCTCTTCTCAACAAACACCCTCAGATTGCCAACTATAGTCTCTGTGGGATTCTCAGCAACCCCCTGGAACTTCTTGAACCCGCTCACATGAACAACAACACTCTTTGGTCCTTCTGATCCCATTTCCTCACTCTGCACCCGAATACAATTCCCAATCTTCAATAAACTCCGCTGTCAAAACACAAAATTCAAAATTTTCAAAACCCCAACCTTCGTTTTCGATAAAGGTACAATCTTTTTGGTCAAATAAGGCATCCCATCAAAGATTCTGAGATAATCAGGCTAGTTTACTAGTAATTTAAGCATCAAACACCATTTTTTTTTTACTTGAATATAACGAAAAATGCGTGCTTTTACAGCCAAAAATGGGAATTAAGCCTTGGAATTATCAGTTGACCGATTAGAATTTCATTACAAAAAACAGAGAAAAATCCAGAATTTAAAAGACAAAGGGACTAAAGAAATATATATTCAGAGTCGGATGAAAGCAAACCTTGGAAATTCAGGACGGAGCTCTCGAGTCCGTGGAGAGTTTGGAGAAGGAAAATGCCGTCCGCAAACTGAAGAAAGCAAAAGCCGGCTTTGGCTTCTGCTTCTTTCTTCGGCCTTTAAGCTTTAACTTTGCTTGCTGGAGGCTAATTAAATAGCCATTTGTTGGTCAGTCTTTTACGAAAATGCCATGGTAGTCTTCCTCATCCCCCGTATAATAATGCCTACAGGGCGGTGGGACACGTCATATACTTTAATTACATCAAATGATACTTGGGTCCATATAAGTGTTCTGCCATGAACCCATTATTTAATTTACATCAAACAACACATGTATTAATAAACCTAACCAAATCGACCACTCTGCAAGCCCATAGTATCGTAAAAATTCGGTCAAGCCATTCACACGCAACCAAAGCTTTCATGTCCATGAGCTATAGCTGCACGTAGACACCTTGAAGGTGTCAATTTACGTATAGATTGATCTAAAGATGTCACGTGTCGAACGTGTAATTGTGTGCTTTTTAAATACTTAGCGGCTGTCGTGTAATTGATGAATTTTTTATGTTAAACAGAGGTGAAGCCATGAATGGATTAGGATGGTCCCAACCCATCCTGAGATTTCTTTTTACTCATAAAAGCTTGGTATTATGCTTATGATTTTCAAGGTTTTTCCAAAAGATCAGGCCACAATCTGACCTTTTTACTTAATTTCATCCATCAGGATTGCTTGTGAGCTTTAAGAATGACTCTAGTTTGAGACCAATGGAAGGAAAGAAGAAAAAAAATGAAAGGTTTGAAGTTTAAATCTGAGAAAGAAGATGATGAAAACGACACAAATCAGACTCTAACAACAATGATCGTGGTTGTCACATAAAGATGACATATGCTTTTTTTTTTTTTGCAAGCACTTAAGCCCTTTGTCACGTAAAGATGTTGTGGGAGGATAAAATCTGGTTTCAACTCATGGGCCACTACCAATCATCCAAGGGGAAAGTGTTGTGCAAGGTAAAAAGCCCACAAGAAATATACGGACACAAGGGAACGTGCTTAGATAACTACCCCACTACGGAGGAGAAGTGGGAGAGGGTGACAGGTCGTGGCACTTGTTCCCAAAGCATGCAGTCATATGACAGATGACCACTGAAGAAGTGGGAATGAGGATTGGGCATGGTGCTTGATCCTTAAGCATGCAATCCTATCAATAGGGAGAGGAGCCAAAGGACAAGGTACGTAATCAAAACCTGAGAAAATCCAGAGAATAGAAAATCAATCGATTAACTTGAGCGTTGGAGTATCTCTTGCAGGTACCACCCGGGCAAGCTACAAAAAAAGACTATTCAGGGGCATCTCTAGCGAAAGATTTGGCGAACGTGAGAATTGCGGTCAACGAATCTGTGTTCTTGTGAGAAATCTCTCTCCAACAGTTGGCGCCGTCTATGGGAAAAAAAACAAAATCGAGTTACAAACATGATTGGATCCGCACAAGAAGTTCTGAATGCCTCCGAAGATGCAGGGACTTGATCGGTACATACGAGGTCTCAATCCCATGGTAATGAACCCATTCTTGCCATGGAACAATTTAGAAGGCTAATAAGGGAATTACGTGAAACAAAAAAGATAGCCAATGAGGCATTGAAGAAGGCTGAAGCAAGAAACGCAGCGGAAAATGTGGCCGGCATTAAGAGACAGTGTGCAGAAGAGAAAGATAAGGAGGGCAGCTCTAGTAGTGCGCCATCCAGCAACTGTATTAAGGTGATGAAAAATCATGGCAAAGAGGATCACATGGGGAAAGGATCGAAAAAAGTAAAAGATGTTGATTTGCGAGAACAAATTGAGAAGATTGTGAAGGGATACAAGTTACAAACCCCAGCAGAACTTGCTTTAGAAACGGCCAAAGGAATCCGCAAATCACCATTCATGGAGGACATCCTGAAAGCTAAAAAACCTGCCAAGTTCACCCAACTAAAGTTCAGGTTGTTTGAAGGCACGATTGATCTTGTTGAGCATATTTACCACTTCCAACAGCAGAATGCGCTCGAAGGAGACAACGAGGCCCTTCTGTGCAAGTTGTTCCCCTCAAGTCTTTCGGGATCATCTTTAACTTGGTTTAGACAACTGAAACTGAGGTCTATCGAAAGTTTTACAGAGCTATGTGAGGCATTCATATCTCAATATGTTTGCAATCGGAGGCCAAGAAAAGATGTTACGATCTTGTTTAGCACTAAACAAAATGTTGGCGAAAGCCTCAAAAGCTATGTGACTAGGTTCACGAAAGAAATGTCCACCCTAGAAGAATGTGATTCTCACACTGCGTCTTTGGCATTCCGAGAAGGGTGTTGCTGGAACAAAGATGCGTAGGTCGTTAATCGAAATTCCACCATTAGACATGAGGGAGGTGATGGCTCGAGCTGATGGAATTATCAGACTAGAGGAAGAGGAACTTATCCAATCAAAGCAGGCCACATCCACTATTGCTGCATCTCCAGTGGGCACTACTGTGCCAATCTTGAAACCCACGACTTAGTTGAGGAACAAAGAGAAATCGCTGCACTACAACTTGCGAACTACCAGAACCAAGTTGCTGCTTACTTCAACAAACAGGTCAAGTTGAAAAGATTCAGGGTAGGAGAATGGGTATTAAGAAAGGTCATGGAAAACACAAAAGATTTGAATGCAGGGAAGCTTGGACACATATGGGAATGACCATACGAGGTGACCGAAGCCTTCGGAAAAAGAACTTATAAACTCAGGCACGTTGAAACAGGTCAGTATGTGCCGCGCCCATATAATGCAATTCATTTGAGAAAGTACCACATTTAGCTTTTCGTGTTTATGTTTACTGTGTTTAAATTTTTGTTTCCAGCAATGTTGAAAGGTAAATCCCTTTTTGTCTTCCTTCCATGTCGAAGGGTGTATCCTTGGATGTATGTTAACATCTCCCTATTGTTTGATAAATAAAGTTGCATTTCATTCAAACCTTAAACCAAGGGATGAGGATCGAATCAAGATCGAAAACATAAGATCGAGTGGGGAAAGAAAACCCAAGATCGGATGGGCAGAGACGCAATCAAGATCGAGAATCTAAGATCGAGTGGGAAAAGAAAACCCAAGATCGAATGGGCAAAGACCCATCCAAGATTGAAAATCTGAGATTGAATAGGTAAAAAAAAAAAAAAAAAAAACGATGAAGACAAATATGGTCTCTCTAATGCACGACTGCTAGTGGTACCGACTAAACTCTCTTTTTATAAATATATTTACAAAGAGAGAGAGTGAGAGAATCAAGTGTGTCGGTGTGTGTGTGTGTGTGTGTGTATTGATATATGTATATATAGGTGTGCAGATTAGATGTGCCGACTAGGTGTGTAGCCTAGCATTGTGGATTATATGTGTGAGCAGGAAACATACATGGTAAATATATATATATATATGTGTGTGTGTGTGTGTGTAAATCAGGTAAAAGTGTATGTAGGTGTGCAGACAAGATGGGATAGAGATCTATATAATAAATATGATATGGGTGTCAGTCCACTTTCGTAACGTTAGTCCTCGTTCGTAAATCATGTCAAAGTGTCAGTCCTTGCTCGTAAATCCTCGTTCGAAAATCATAGTGGGAATATCTTATTCGTAACGAAACGAATGCTTAGGTACATATATGTGTAGCTTGTCAGACAACCTACTCAGTTAAATTTCATCAATTCGTAAGATGTCAGTCCACTTTCGTAACATGTCAGTCCTCGTTCGTAAGTTCTCGTTTGTAAATCATGTCAACGTGTCAGTCCTCGCTTGTAAATCCTCGTTTGAAAATCATAGTGGGAAGATCTTATTCGTAACGAAACTAAGGCTTAGGTACATATATGTATAGCCTGTCAAACAACCTACTCAGTTAAATTTCGTCAGTTCGGACGAGACGGAAACAAAAACGACATCGAGTGTTTCGTCGTGTGATTGCGGTGGACTTTATATCGGAGGAGCTCAGACCAAACAGACGACAAGTCATTGAAGTGAAGCAATTTGAGAAGAAGAAATGGGGAAGATTCCGGTGAAGATGAGAGCAGTGGTGTACGCGCTGTCGCCGTTTCAGCAGAAGGTGATGCCCGGCCTCTGGAAGGATCTCACCGGCAAGATCCACCACAAGGTCTCCGAGAACTGGCTCAGCGCCACCCTCCTCCTCACTCCTCTCGTCGCCACCTACTCGTAAGTCTTCGATCTAAAAAATTAGGATTAGGGTTTTCCGATTATGTTTCTAAATCAGTAATTGATGACATTAGTGCCCAATTGTAACGGTTTTTGAAGTGGGTCGCAAGTATTTTTGGTGAATTGTTGGAATTTATGGTCAACATGTTGGGTTTGGGACTGGTCTGATTTGGGGATTGTGAAGATTTGGGTGGATTAGTAGATGATTTGGGTTTTGATTTGGTGGGATTTGCAGGTATGTACAGTATTACCAGGAGCAGGAGAAGTTGGAACACAGGTACTGAAGATTGGCTTTGATTTGAGATGAAAAGATAGGGAAATTTTCTTGTTAGCTGCAATGATAAACTTTGTTCTCTGATTGCAATTACACTAGTTGTAATTTGAATGTTTGTATTGAATTAAATGACAGTGACCCTGAAATGAAGAAGGGTTTGAGTTTCATTTTTCTGGAAACAAGTTTGTAATTTGAAGCTGATATGCAAATTCAAGCTGCATAATAATTTGAGATTGCAGTATCTGTTTCATTTATCTACATTTAAATGTGCAACTGCATTCTGCTTATTACCGAAACCAAATCCTCGCACCATTCGATATAGGTGCAGGATTGATGCTGGTACTTGGTCCTCTGCTAGTAGATTGTAACCTCTTGATGAGGACGACTTGTATGTAAGGTTATTTTTCTCTCGGTTATTTTTCTCTCTCCATTTGGCATGAATAGTGGACCGGGATATCACGCGGTGCTGAACTTGTTTCATACAAGTTGCTCTGCTCTCCTCTCCTTGATGAGAGTGAGGCCACTACATTGTGGCAAGGCTCTTCAGATATCAAATGAAAGTTGATGCCATGGACAACGATTGTCCGGGCCGTAACTTGAGCAATGCAGCATTGTCTGCGCGGCTCTTGGTGATCTGCAGGTGAATTTGTTTGATGAAGCATGAGTTTATGCAAGGACTGGAAGGTGTATCGTGGTTGAGCTTTCATGTGCATGTATAAGGATCATATGTTAGCCCGACGGAGAAACGATAGCCTTCGTTCCATACCAATCCGTCCCAGGTGTGGCCTGTTACAAACTTCTCGGAGAAACGATGCACGGCAGAAACTAGAAAATCGTAATTGAAATTTTACACCGAATCATTGAAAAATCAATCATAACGTTGTTATGTGCAAGTCTAAATGCCATAGCTGCTTCAGAAGAACAATCATCTAGTGCAGCTAATTACAAATGGAAGCCTGAACCACCAAAATTTATCCTTTATCCAGGCCAAAAAAATCATTAATCTGTGGTGCCGTCTTGGCACCATGTAGCCTCGAATTTACAAACACGGTTCTCATCCGCTTCCTCATCTCTCGTTCTGATTAGACTCCGGAAATGCTCTTGACAACAGCAAGTTCTTTATCCTAATAATTAGAGCAAAGACGCCGTAGCATGGGAGATGCATCAATCCAACCCCAAGATACCTGCAAGGTTGACGACAATGATAAGGCGCAATGTACATGCAGTCCAGTTTCTGCAATATTTGTTTGTCGAGGTTAGAAAAACATACCATAAGGGAGCATACGAGGATGACAGGTCGAGAAATGGATAAGGCCACCTGTATCGAAGTTATCATGTTTATGAGCTACAGTTAAGTTTCTTCAATCTCAAACAAAAGTAATTTGACATGTAGTTTTACCACATGGATTTGCAAGCATGGAATATCCACTGAAAAATCACGAATACTCCCGTCCACAGCACAAAATATGCGATTCGAAACAATGGAAACCGCTGAAAGGAGGAAGAAGAGAGAAGTTTTTAAGCTTTAATCATGAAAAAAGAATAGAAAATGCTGTCAAAACGAACAAGGAACCAAACATACCATGTTATTCAAAAATGCCTCACCAAGGAGGAAAGGGGCATTGATTGAGTGCATTATGACCATCATCTGCAGTTGAATGAAGAGGAAGACACGTCAAACAAAAGCGGTTCACTACTGGAAAACAGCAACTCAACTCTAGTTACAAACTATAAGAAGACAAACAATTTTGACTGCTTCCACTGTAAGGGTGGTATATAAGAAACCTTAATGTCAATGAAATTAGCAGCCTCGTACTTACAAAATTCAGTTTGTAGTCTTTGGATGTTAGAAATGGATACAGAACAAGCCAAAATATGCAATCAGTGATAGCGACAGCACCTCCACACATCTATACACATGAACAAAGAGAAGGAAACAACCTGGTTGAGATAACAGAAGCTCAGATTTTACCTAACCTGGAAGAATCCAAGTCCAAATTTATTAACCAGAACTGCAGCCACTTGTTGGAGAAAACCTACCTGATAAATAATTTGAAAGATGTATTCGCGTGCACCTGCACCTTTGCGGCCATGATATTCTTCATGAGTAAGACTTTTAGATCTATTGGACGTATTGCCATTCTCCCCCAGTGTTGGAGCAACATAAGCGCCTCGCTCTTCATCCTCACCAATTCTATTGCGATGCTTATAAATTCCACGAAGCGAGACTAAAGATCCATACTATAAAATGATGTTCAGAACATATTAAAACTCGGGCTAATGTGATTCAAGGAAACCAAAGCATAATGACTCTCATATTTCATCAATCCTAATGAGCATCTTTGAGTGGTAAGATTGAACTGAGCGGTTGAAGGTACAAAAGCAAAGTACATATTATATTTCAAGTACTTTACTACAATGTAAATGCAGGTATGCTCAAGACGATTTAAATACATACCCCGAAATACAATGTGACCAAAACAAACGTCCACCTGTTAAGCACAATAGGCCAATAGAGTACATCAGCATATAGAGTGTTGCGCATATACAATTAACACAATAAGCTTCAAATTTGTGCGCATCCGCTCCTCAAAGAGTGGTTTCTAAGATCACGAACATGAAAAATACAAATAAATAAGATAGCTTACTGCGTATAGAAGTAAAAGATGCCGGCTCCATCAAGAGCAACATTAGCAACTATCAACCCCAACATCACAACAAAAGCAATTATTCTATAAGCAAGTAACCACGCGGGATGTATTCCTTTAAGACACGTCTTCCAGGCTTCATCCTCGTACAAAGTCCCTACCGTTTCTCGCTGATCCACTGCTCTCCTGCCCGTTCTCGATTTTTTGAAACCTTCATATTTCCATATAAGAACTGAGGCTACAACCATAGTAGATAAGATCCATATTGCACAAATGAGAAACCTCCAATTCAACCAATAACTCGCATCAGTTGTATCCGCAGTCATGACGGGTTGCCAAGTATGGTTCGATGATCCTGTGAAGAAACTCATAGCTCGTAAGTTTCACACGTACTTGCCCCACCAATTATGTTATCTAATTTGTATTCAAATTTGTCACAGAAATTGCAAAAACATAAAAGAGAAAATGGTAGAAACCAGAACAACCCTGCAAATTTTTGTGACAAAAACTGTGTAAAACAGTTAACATGTCAAATGTTAACAAAACAAAAACAACAGTTTCAAATGTTCGGGGAAGAAATAAAATCAGTTGCGCGGTTAGTTCGTTGTAAAAAAACCATCGTACAAATCAAATAACGATTCGACAGATGTGTAAAGCACAAATTATGGAACCCCAAAAACTACAGTGGGAAGGGATCATAATCCAAGTACAAATGCAGAAGAAAACAAATTAATAACAGGAGCTTTTTCAAGGTTAAATTCAGGAGCGGAAGAGGAGAGATTCTTTACTTTAAAGTGGGGTTTCTCGCAAAAATGTCGTCAACTCGCGATCACATCAAAACGAGAATAACAAACGTTGGTTCCTCCCAAAAGGAGAGGCCTGTCCGCCTTCGCTGGTGAATTTCCCGAAGGTTAAAAAAAAGATGGATTCTTTGCTTCTCTTTTTTCTTCTCCCAATTGTCTCGGAGAGAGAGAGAGAGAGAGAGAGAGCAAATGGAGGGTGTTTGGAAGATTTCAACTTTTTTCCATTTGTGTGTGTGTGAATGCTGCAGTTGGCGTGGAGGACTGGATCGGATGGGATTGGATTGGACCGGAGAACAATCAGAAAATGGAAGAGAAGACAGAATCAACTTTACCTCTTCCGGTCCACAATCAGCTATCGGATATGTATTCTTTATTTCTTTTGTTTTTTATTCTTTATTTAAAATTGCGAGGGATTTGGTGGTGCTACGTTCCAATTTTCCTGAAACAAGTACACCATTCAAAATAATTTCGAGTGGTAAATATTTGGAATGTTCGAGTTTAGATTTATTTTTGAAATAATTTTGTTTGGCCTACTAACATTTAGCCTCGTTTTTCAACCAAAAATGAAACAGACCTGTCGTTAGCACACCATCATTTAATAAGAACGGATATATGACGTCGTCATCAAAACATGAATTTATCTATGACATTGTAATGTTTTAAAAATGAGATGTGAAGTTAAAATTACAACTAAATTTGAAGGAACAAAATGTAATTTAAACTTCCAAGCATTTTCCCAACGTACGAGTGGCTATCCAATCCTTACTTTAGGAGATCGGAGCAGCACGACAACTTGTCGGTTGTTATGGAACAGATCCAACGGGATAGTTGTAAGATCTGAACGGCTAAGACAAATCTTAACGGATATTTGCAGAATGTGGGTGGCTGGTAAAATAAACGCTACAACAGGACTAAAAAGTAACAATGTGGAAACTATAAACCACAGGCTTCCTTTGCCAGATTTTATCGAAATTAATCATGGTCCAGTTTCTCTGCTATTACATCGACAGGTAATGATCCCATGGGGATTGAATCACTCTCATAAAATTCATCATCATCACTCTCATTATCGTAATCATTGTCAATATAGTCGTCGTATTCGCTATAAGGGTCCCTTTGGTCTTCTTCAAACACTTGAACCGAGCTGCCGGAACCGTCTTCGCTCGACACAATCAGCGCCGGATAGGAGTGCTCTGTCGCCTGCGAAACACTGTCGAATTCCTCGACCTTCTTCAAGAGTGCGTCAGGATCAAGGTCAAGCTCATCCAGAAGCAGTGCTTTGTTTGAGTCGATTGAGCGTTTCCAAAGAGACATCATTTTTGGGCTTGTTATCACTGTTTTGGCATCAGGCTTGCAAGGTTTATCATCTTCCTTGCCTGAAAAAGCATAATCAGAATGTAAACGAAGTCAGATGGAGCGTTATAAAATGGATCGTTATAAAATGAATCACGCATTACAGCCTAGAATCACAGAAGAAAATCACTGCTTCACGAATTAAATTGAATTCCTATTGCATTATTACTGAGAGAGAAACAAAACAATGTATACGGAATAATACACTGTAGAGACTTTGTCCACATCAATGTTCAACAAAACTTAGGACTCAAGAACGCAATTTCTAGGATATTGCTTCTCTTGCCAGTAACTGGTATGAACTTTACCAACAAACAGGTTGCAATCATGCCTGCCTTCTCCACTTTGTAAAGCTAGTCCAATCGATGGATGTCTACTCAACTCTAGTAGCCACAAGTCTAATATCAACTAACTTTTAACTAGAATTGGAAAAACAACAGAAGCTTCCTTGAACTTGGGTACAAATGACGCTCTAAAATATCCCGACTTGCCTTTTCTAATTATTAGGCCTGGCATTAGGACGCTGATTACAGAAGGCCCCACATGATGTGCATGCCTTTCCGAAATCATCTTAAATCGCTTAATTAAATTTTTTCTTTGATTTTTAACAGTTAACAGCCAACATAATCAATGTAGGAGAATATAAACTGGATAAAGAATTTCAAAATCATCTTTTAATTTCCTGAAACATGGTTTTGTTATCTTTTAATTCTGCGGTCAGTAATTTCTAAATTGGTCTTAAAAATAATCATGCGTGTGCAATGTAACTCATACCTCTTTCTGTTGATAATAGAATATCAAAATCATCTGGTTCTGAAGGCGAAGGTGCTGATTGATGCATTGATATCCAATTTGAACCCCTCCACATCAATATCTGTTCATCATCAAAAGAAAGTAGCACGCACGGAACCAATTCCTGTAAACAAGTGGAGATTAAGAGGGTTAGAAAACTGGGATAATGTTAGACAATGATTAGGTAACTCTTTGCAGTATCTAAATACCATCAAGCAATTTTTCAAAATGCTATCTGGCACTTATACAAAGCAATTCCCATCCATAGAAATAAGTAACTCCGAAAGGTTTTGAAATCAAGGAACAAAATATAACTACAGAAAAAGGCCAATGCTTATGTACAACCTTGAAAAGGTTATCGTTTCTTACATGCCTTTGTACAGGAACACGCTAAATGACACTGGATGAAGAGGAATAGAAAAAGAAGCAGCGTACAAACCTTAAGCTTAGCACCTAGCTTTTTGTAGTCACTTGCATGCATCCCTGTACAGTCAATCTTTACTAAGGGACTTCCTTCAAAAGCATGCCTAACATCTCTCACCAACGTAATGTATACTCCATTTTTGGCTGCAATTTGGAATAAACATAGAAATAGTCTGAAATAGTCATCTAAGTTATAAAAATCAAGTGTTCATTGTTCATCAACTAATCTTAATCCTA